AAAATTATTACCCTGGAAAACTCTTTTGTTTGGTTATAAAGAATATCCATACAAGTGAATAAGGTTCACCCCAGATCATTCAGATATTGGGGGGAAATCCTCAAAATAGAGGTTTATTGTTGCCATTGTTTTGTCATTAACTGGTTATTTTCCACATAAGTAAGGTCCTGCTAATATTGGCTTTAATCATTGATGGACATTAAGAGTTTCAGACTTGCCTGATTGAGAAAGCTAATTTAGAGGAGTAAAAAATAATTATAAAAATAAAAGCGCAGGCTACTTTGATTAGAATTAATCTCACCTCTACCACAGTACTTTTGTTTTTATTTTGGCATATATTTTATTATACCTGAGATAGTAGATTGTATCATTTTTTGTATCAGCTTTTCACTTCCTTTCCATATGTCGTATATTCTAACTCCTGTTGTGGCCTCATAGATGGGGTGTACTGTGCTTCTTGAGTTTGGGCTTGGTAATAGGACTTGCCTTAGCTGGTGGAATGTTAGTGGACATGAAATATGCACAGGCTTAAATTGTGTTGCAAATCTGGGCATACTGTCATGCATTACTGTTATCTTTTGTTTTGAGAAGTGTGCTTTAGGAAGTTGCAAGTGTAAGGAGATTGAGAAACAGATGAAATAGACGCTGGCATTGTCTGCAGCTTGGAGCCAATCTCAGCACAACCCAGTCTAACTCAGCCCAACTTGAGCCTTTTTACCCGTGCCTGAACAATGAAGATCTGCTCATAGGTCTGTACTACTGAGATTTTTGTGGACCAAGTATGCACTTTGCTGTGGCAGTGTCATTTGAAGTCAGAACACATTTTCCTGTGTGTGTGTGTGTGTGATTGTGCGTGATTGTGCACGTGTGCATGTGAACTTGCGTCCATGTCACTTTCCCTTTCCCTATAGCATGTGGGATTCTGGGTCGATATGAAAACAGCTGACAGCAGTAGATAAAGATGATTACAGCAAAGAATTTAATCAATAACCACTTTTATCTCAGCAACACACATTATCTTTCACCTTTAAAAATTATTTGCATAAATGTCTCTTAGCTAGTCTCAGGGTAAATAAGACCCGGCTGTCTGAAGAGGCAGGAAAACACGAGAGAGGAGAAGTAGCAATTTTGAATGTCAAAAAATGCTGTGGTAAAGACTAAGTGGTGTGACTTTTATTTAATGATAGAATACGCAAGATCACCACAAACCACATTAATGTATCTAATTACAGCAATTCTGCACACATGCATATCTTAGCTCTTAGGGAAAAAAGTTCAAACTAATCCAAGCACATTACTGGCAAAATAATAAAATCATGTTTCTGATGAAGATTAAGTTATATAATTTAATAGTAAAATGTCTTAATAAAAAACTATCGTGACAATTCTTTAATAAAAGATTATTCAATCTATATAAGTGACTTCAACCATGTTATAAGGAAGTTAATGATTTTGTTTGTTTTAAAAGGTGTTACGCTTGAAGAGTCTAGAAGAGTGACTGAGAGTCAGTGAAATGACAGCTTTAAAAGTCAATGTTATTTTTAAAGATTTTAGTGAGCTAAAATGCTTTCCCTACACATTTAAGTAAAATGAGTGAGTATATTGTCTAAGGAATAGGTATCTACTCCAAAGCCTGGGTGGGAGGGTTCAAGTTGATGGATGAGATATCTTAGTCTTTACCATGAGTTTTATAAGTTGTAATTTTTTGAGAGAGCATTCTAAATTGGAATTATCGTAAGTGTGTGGGAAGCCTGTTGATTAGAAAGTGAGAAAATTGGGGTATATACCTAAGAAATTGTGCCAATCTCTGTATGTATAGTTTTCTCTGTGTGTATACACTAGATGATTGAGCTAGCAAGAGTAGAGTCTGAAATCTTCATATTGCCTCAATGCTTATTCCTTTTATTATTCTCCTAAAGTGTTAATGCCAATTTTAAAGAGTTCTAGTTGGCTCTGAATGGGCAAGAGGAACAGAGGAAAGGTATTATCATCAAAACTTACGGAAGCTCTTTAAAGAAGGGGGGTGCAGACTTGACGAACCCTGAGCAATGGCTGTATCCATGGCCTTGGCAGTCAAATAAGGAACTTCCTCCAAGGGGAAGGAATTACCCTTTTCCAGCTAAATAATTACTCATAGATTTGTAGACTATATTTTTAAAGCACATATATCCTTTTGAAGTTAGGATTATTAAACATAATTTAAGAAAAGCATTTATAGCATTGGTGATATAATTTCAGTTCCACTGTAAAGTATATGCAGGAATTATTTTTTCTCTTCTTTATTTTGACTGTGTGTGTTTTAAAGAAACCTGCTTTTGATGTAGCTTTGGCATTTTTTTCTGTTTGTCCTATTCTAAAATAACCCTGTATTAAAATTTCTCTTTATATTCTAGACAAATTACTTTGACCTTATCAAATTAGAAATAAAATTATGAGAAACCAAAGAAGTACATTATACATTTGGATGGAAACCATATATCTCCAGGTCTTCAAAGTAAAAAGCATACAGTCCATGCTGCAAAAGACACGTAGTATTTCTATTTATAAGCTTATTTTATTCACTTTTATCATATTTCCTCTGTGTAGTACTTGACAAATTTTTATCAGAAGGTGGTTTTTCCTTTTCTTAAACTGAATGAAGAGCATCCATTTTAAGCAGCATGATTATGGAGCCTCTGTGCTTAGCACTACTCTCAGAAAACAAATCGGAGATGAAATTTGAGAGTGTGTGGGAGAGGAACTGGAATATAAACCTGAAGCTAAAGAGCTACAGAAATGATTTTGTGACTTTCGAAAAACTCAAATGGAAGCAATGTTTGGTACTTATATATGCTCATGAACAATTAGCAGAAAAAAACTATTTTCATTTTAGCAACAAATAAAAAATAGTGCTACAATGGGCCATGAGCTAGCAATGGTTGTTGACAGTATTATTATTAGTAATAATGAGATTATAATCATCATGTGCTATCATGTGCTCTTTTACCTAAAATATCTAGTTTATGACTCATAGATAATTCGAGAATTTTTCTTTTTTCTTTCTTTGAGATATGGCCTCACTCTGTCACCCAGGCTGGACTACAGTGGCCCAATCTTGGCTCACTGCAACCTCCGCCTTCCAGGCTCAAGTGATCCTTCCACCTCAGCCTCCTGAATAGCTGGAACTACAGGCACACGCCACATGGCCTGCTAATTTTTGTATTTTCTGTAGAGCGAGGGTTTCACCATGTTGCCCAAGCTGGTCTTGAACTTCTCAGCTCAAGCAATCCACCCTCCACTGCTTCCTAAAGTGCTGGGATTACAGGTGTGAGCCATTGTGCCTGGCCTAGAATTTCTTAATAGTGTCAAATTTCCTCAATATCCTTCAACGTTTCAAAAAACCTATCAAAACTTAGCAACACTAAAAAGTTTCTATTTTTACACTATTCGATCATCTGGTGGTGGTAATATTTTTAAAAATGACCTCACAATCAATGAATATTGACAGACTGAATAATATTACTTCAAT